GTATTTGAAGCAGCTTTTCTTTCCAAGTCTCTGGCCGCCTGTGCGTCACCATCCCGAAGGTGTAGTTGTTCCCTTGCACGGTACGTAGCCGCTTGGATCTGATCCACCCTCTCCTTGCGAGACGACTCGTATGCCCGTAGTGCTAAAGGCAGCTGCTGTCGGTTCTCAATCAACGAGAGTACTGTGGCAATGGCAGTCGCATCTTCGACCGCTTGGGCAACTCCCTGGCCGAGATACGGACTAATCGGAGTACACATTAGTTACGGTTAAGAATAGGTACAGGTAGAGATGCGGGACAATACTAACAGCATTGCGTGGCACGCATCCCCAAGAAGAATTGTCGAGCCTTTGACCCAAACGGGCGCCGGGGGATATATGAACATCCGAAAGTTGGGCACTTCAGGCGGAGCAAGTGCAACCAGTTTGAGAAGCGTTGGATCCCATCCCTGGTAGTCCGTCAGCACGTTTTGCTTGTCCGTTACCGACGTCCACGATTCCTCTGCATCCCCATTGTCTGGATGGATGAGGACGACATTGAGCAGCCGGTGGTTTTGCACTGGATAGGCGACCACGTGGCGGGAAGGTCCGTCCCATCTGGTGGCCCAGGACCGTTGTACTAGCTCCTGCAACCTTGGGTCGGATTCCAGCAAGTCCCGCGAGAGGGTGAATCTATAAGCGGCCTCGCCTGTAGGCAGCGGTACAACTGCTTCAGGTGGACAAACCTTGGCCTTCAAGGTGGATTTCACGCCGTCCGCTGCGATGATCAAGTCACCCGCCACGCGTTGTCCATCAGAGAGAAAAGCGACAGTGGCTTCGATATCAACATCCACCACTCTCGCTCCTAGTCGAATTTCAACGTTGCTGAGCTCTTGAGCACGCGCAAGAAGTGCCAGTTGCATGTCTCCATGGTGGACAGCGTTCTGCTTCCCCACCGGGTTCGCTGCGGTTCGAGTGATTAATTCCCCAGTGTCCCACTTGGTGATCTCGATGCCGTCCAGGGGGACACATGCAGTGTCATTCGCCTGGAGCACCCCTTCAGCTATTTCACAGCTTTATCAGCCTTTGAAGCAGGCTTTAGTTTATCAACATGGGGCTATCCACCTACATTCATACCAATGCCGCGTGGTTGGTGGTAATGCCACCCCCGCACCAACGTGAGATAGCTGGGCTTTGGTTAACACACAAAACAGCCAAAGTAAGTACTTCAGTAAAACAACAGCCGCCTACCTCAGGGGTGGACTCAAACACCATCACGGAATGCCCGCGGTTCCCAAGTGCGACCGCTGCCGAGAGCCCTCCGATGCCTTTGATCCGAATATTTAGATGTTGACCTCGTTACTTCACTAACCATAGGTTCAGCCCGCTTACCTGCTCTGTATTGAATTTTGTTAGTCAGTCCGTTATGGTAGAGAATCAGAAAATAAGCAGAAGGGCTCTTCCTACCCGACAATAACTACGTGAAGCGGGACTCGGCAAATCGGCTTTGTAGTAGACATGACTCTTAACGCCTGACAAAGAGATGATCAGATGGGTACCCTCGTAAGTACACAATAAGAACGACTGAAGTCGGTCGCATGTATGGCCGAAAAATGATAAGATATATCGATAAAATTCATACATCTCTTCTTTACGCAGGGTTCAAACATCCATGTTGTGAATGGGCTGCCAATATGCAACAAGTGTCGTGTCGAGTTAACGAGTGGACTTAACTCGCCTATAACTGCCCCAGACACTCCTCATCAGCAAAAGTGGAATAGACTCTCAACAACTATCACCTGAGCGTGCGATGATGATGCTTTAGTTTTTCCATGTGCCAGAGGGAGTTTCTTATTGATTTTAATAAAAGGTCTACTCTTAAAGGGTCTCAAAGTATATAGTCGTGGTTTTGACTAGGCATGCCATCCTCATAAAGAAGTGGGTCACGGTGTTTACTGGATTACCTACCCGTCAATCGAATACACAGCGGACCATATCATGGGAGACTTCGAGAAAAGTCATGACTTTAAGGTAGTCATAGTTGGAGGGTCCGTTGCAGGCCTGGTCCTTGCCCATAGCTTGCACAAGGCCGGGATCGACTACATCGTTCTTGAAGGTCGCGATCACATCGACCCACAAGTTGGCGCTTCCATCGGCCTTTTCTCAAACGGCTCCCGGATCCTCGACCAGCTGGGCGTCTTCAAAAGCATCCTCGAGTGTACGGAGCCGCTGAAATGGTACGACATGCTCACTGGGCAGGGAGATCTAGTACGACGTGATGATTCCTTGCAGTTGATCGAAGCACGGTACGTCATAGGGGCTGCGCAAACACTATTTAAGCATTGTTGAGCTGATTCACATCATAGTACGGGCTATCCGGTGACGTTTCTCGAACGGCGGCAGGTCCTCCAGAAGCTCCATCAACTCGCTCCGGAGCAGAGCAAGATTCTCACTAGCAAAAAGGTCATCTCTGTTCGCACTCTACCGGATGGTGTTGAGGTTCACTGTGGAGATGGTTCCATATTCACTGGAGATATAGTGGCAGGAGCCGACGGTGTACACAGTCAAATCCGCCGTGAGATGTGGCGCCATGCCAAAAGCGACGGTGCCCTTAAACACCTCAAGAATGATGAAAAAGGTAAGCTACTGATACCACGTACGCAATCAGAGGAATACATCAACTGACAACAAGTCTATAGCCATGTTCGCCGATTATAGGTGTCTTTATGGCATGTCTTCTCCTGTGCCAGGCTTGCGGGAGACGAGCATTTACCGTACTTTCAACAAGAACTGGTCCTTTCTCGTGGTTGTCGGGAAAGACGAGCGCTGCTTCTGGTTTGTATTCGAGAAACTAAGTAGAACATATAGGCTGCCAAATCTGCCGAGATACACAGAATCTGATCAAGCCGAGTTCGTGAAGCCATTTATGAAACGCCATGTCTCCCAGGGCGTTACTTTTGAAGCTCTCTGGCATCGAAAGACAGCAGCCACTTTAGCGGCATTGGAGGAGGCCCAATATCAACATTGGACGTACGGGCGGTTCGTCTGCCTGGGCGATTCCATACACAAAATGACACCGAACATGTGAGACACCCTGAATCATCCCCTGTTTAATTACCAAATACAATCATTGACATGAGAGACAAATAGTGGCCAGGGTGGTAATTGGGCCATTGAGAGCGCCACCGCTCTAACCAACAAGCTGTACGCAATGATGAGGACAACACAAAGACCATCGTTCGTGGAGGTCTGCGACACGCTGAGCGACTACGAGCAAAGCCGGCAAGTTCGCACCAAAGAGGTGTGCACAATGGCCGGATTTGCCACTCGTCTGGAAGCATTTGACAAGTTTTGGCACAAACTAATGGCTTTGTATGTTGTACCGCGGGCAGGCGACATGCTCGTAGATGTTCATTGCCAGTCGGTCGCGGGAGCACACATGTTAGATTTCCTCCCACCACCGGAGCTATCGCTGAGACAGGACACCATCTTCCAGGCAGTAGAGTTTGACCGACGAGGGCTTCATGTTGCATGGCGAGTCCTTGGTGCCACCCCACTCCTGGCTTTCTGTTTTGCCGCTCGTCATACATTGGAGCCTACAGGATCTGTCCTGGTTGCCAATCAAGACGCCAAGGCAGTGCAAGTAGCTATGCTGTCGCATCTGGGCGACTTCTTCCCGCTCCAAGTCATCGCTCTGATAGAGAGTGCCCGGCGAGGTAATAGTATGGGGATTGCCGCTCTTTGGCCCCTATTTGTACTCGCAGGGTACTGGGGAAGCACAGCATACGCCCTTCCGGTGTACTTCTTCCTCCAGTACATTTTATCCCCGCCGAGTCGGTACACTGCCGCTGACAACCGCCTCGTACCCACAAATTACGCCAGATCTGCTGTTGCGGCGACAGTAATGGGCTACTTTCTCCTCGTAGCCTATGGCGCGGCATCCCAGCAGAAGTATGCTGTGTATGCCCACTGGTATTTACTACCTACCTTCATGGCTGTCCTCCACCCTCTGTTCGCCTCGTTTCTCACCAACACTACCTTCACAGACCGGGTTCAAAATCCTCGTGCTGATATGAAGTATCTGCTTGTATCGTATACCATGAGTGGCATCTTTACTGCCATAACGCATGTCTACTCCTGGGCCCTGTCACCGTGGGGTCTAACCAACATTCTGTCCATTTTAACTCGGCTACGGCAAGGAACCCTGCTTCTGGAAGAGATCGGGCCAGAGAAATCCATTCAACGTCATCATGTACTTATGCTAGGGAGCGGGCTTTTCTGGACCCTTCTCCATTTATGGGACCTGAAAAGCACTGGACGACTTAAGGCAGGTTGGTTAAAGGTTGTTGGGGCACTCGTCAGTATGCTTGTGATGTTCGGACCTGGCACCGCGTTGGTCTTGGGATGGGCATGGAGAGAAGCAGTGTTGGCTCGAAAGACTGCGCCTCATTAAAGAGTTCAATGACGAGAGGTTGGAGGGAGTAATCGATGCTGGCGCATAGATAGTATGAAAGCAAGGTAGAACATCAGGTACTTGAACAAAGATAGAGGAAATTCACGACATTCTTTCTCCGCGGCCGCTTGTTGGGTTTATATGCTGTGCAACCCCCCAACCCCCACCCTCACCCCCGGGGCATCAAAACGCACTATGAGCAATCAAGCGTGGAGACGTAAAGGGCATGTAGTAATTGTCGTATTCTATCCAGTCGCAGGTGTCGCATTAGTCACGAGAAACCCAGATAAGATGGCTGCTGCCGACTGTTCCTGTCAGGTCCTTTCAGTCCGATTTGATCACTGGTCTTTTTCCTTGGGGGAGCCTTCGTCGTCTTCCTTTTTATATCCCATCAAGGCTATTCTATTCACTTCAAGCGAATGGCTGCAAGTGTGTCCATGGAAGCATCTCGCCCAAATTGAGCAGGTAGCTGCATTAGTCTGTCTGTTCAAAACCCATCGTCTTGGTATCATGAAGGTCTACTATGGAGACAGCGACAGGACAGTACGGTAATGATATTGAAATAAATATACTCGCAGGATAGAAGGATGGAAATTAAGTGACTGCATCATGTCCAATGATGTATTTCAATGGACTAATATGTTGTTTGGGTTTACTTTTTACTATGCAAGAACTAAGCAGTGTTTAAATTATTTATCAAACTTGATTTTTATTGGTGAGGGTCGACCTAGCATGTCTAGGTAGGTGTTTTGTCGGTTTCAGACTGTCCTATCCCATTCCTACTGCACTAGAATCTCCTTGACTTCCCCGAAAGCCTTGAGGATCTGATCCTTCGCTCCGGCCTCAGTCCACGCCTTCTTAGTGTCCTCGCCCAAGACGCCGTCGTTGATGGCGGCGAAGACGTCGGTACCTGGGGCGAAGGCGAGCTGGACCTTGGTCGGGGCGACCTTCATCTTCATGACAAGCTCCAGGCTCTCGCTGAGATGCTTATTGGCGCGCTCCCCGCCATGTGAGCCGTAGCTGATGACGGCCACAGGCTTCCCTGGCCACTCGTTGTACAGGTAGTCGATGGCGTTCTTGGTGGCCCCTGACATACTACCATTGTACTCGGGGATGACGAAGATATAGCCCTGGAAGGAAGCGATGGCTTCGCTCCATTTCTTGGAGTGATCCTTGGTGAACTGCTTCATGGCTGGGACCATTGCGGGCATGACGGGCTCGTCAAAGATTGGCAGGTTGAAGTCGGCGATGGACAAAGGTTCGACCTCTAGCTTATCTTCCGGGCGTGACTTGATCACCTCATGAACCCATCCTGCAACGTCGGTTCCTACACGAGGGGTGCGTGTGCTGCCGGTGATGAGAGCGATTTTGGACATGGTTACTGATTTTGAAATGACTCTAAACACGAGAGACTGGCAAATGAAAAGGTGTTGGGAATTGCTCTTGCCACTAGCTAAGGACTATCAGAATAGACAAGAAAACAGACTTAAATACCTCTTACCCTCGAGCGAGGTGGGGAGGCGGGGATCTATCCGCCCCTAGATTAGACGCACGCGAGATTGTAAAGGCAACGGACGAGTAAATGGAGTACCGGGTAGATGGCAGACACCCTGGACGGGTGTTATACAATCCCTGTTGGGTGTGTAGACGAAGGATTGCACTAATCCTATCTGATCGCCCCTTGCGTTGATAACAAATCCTCCCTTGCGCTTATGACAAATCCCCCCATTGGGTCGACAACAAAAATATCTTCGTTCGATAGGTAATGCGTCTCGAGTTGCCCCACTATGTTGAAGAGAAACGTTTTGAGAACGACCCCGGCTATTGTTGCTACGAATCGGCTATTTTGCCAATTCACTGGAAATGGATGTTGAGTCTGCCTAGTGCAAGACACTCGTCTCCCGCGTGAACCCAGCAACAATAACTCATCTCCATAGTACACAAAGGTGCCAACCCTATCACCTTGGCAAGTTTCTAGTATTAATCACGGAAACTTTCCGAAACCGCTACTTGGCTATTATCTGCGAGCTTCACGAAAGTGTCCCCTGGGGTGTAGCTAAGTAAAACAAGACGTCTCTGGGACGGAATGCTGAGTGACCTGGCTTTACCAAATCCATATTGATCATTGAACAATGTTAGACATTTCTCTCATCAAATCGCTCCAGCACCCTGGCGCCCGGCTTGCCATCAATTTCATCCTCACTATTGCTGCCATCACCTTGATTCGAAGGATTGGGAGCAGATGCTTGGCAAAGTATCGCCTGCGGGCACTCCCGTTGGTTAATGGGCATGGCCTATTCGAGTCTGACAAAAGATCGAAAGAAAACTTTTTTTTCAACGCCCAGAGCTTGTTGGACGATGGATACGCAAAGGTGAGTTACCCGAATTTACCAGGGTATCAATTGTAAATGGAAGGATTAGCTAAGCTGATTCTTTGGGTTCTATAGTCCCCCAGAGCCTTTCGGGTACAGACAGACAACTCGCAGGTGGTGGTGTTGGCACCTGAATGTGTAAGCGAGATTCGGAATGACAATCGCTTCAACTTCACTCAACTTCTAGCAGATGTAAGTTCCTATTCAATGGACACAAAGGTGATGCGATGAAGTGACGATGGAAGTGATTAGGACTTTCTAGGACATATTCCTGCCTTTACCAACTTTAGTCCGCACAATGGCCTGAACGATATGGCAAAAGAGGTCTTGACAAAAAAACTTAATCCATCTCTTGGTAAGCTACACTCAATGCGCATAAATGGGCTTAGGACTGATTGGTGCGTATCTGGGAAGGCCTTGTCACCAAAGATGTTTCAACCGAGGCAACACTAGCGTTCCGCGACCATTGGACTGATGATACAGGTATGTGTGCATGGGCCCAGAGATTTAAAAATCACGCTTCCATTCTGACCGAATAAAGAATGGCATTCAATCAATATGAAGGGAACTATCCTCGAAATTGTAGCACAGTTATCCTCGCGTGTCTTCCTCGGGCCAGAGCTCTGTCGAAACCCTGCCTGGCTACGAATCACAGTCGACTACACCACCAACTTGTTTTTCGGAGTTGAGGCGCTCAAGAAATGGCATAGCTTTCTCCGCCCTATCGTGTGGCGCTTCGTTCCAGAGGTTCGAAAGGTGCGCCAACAGATCGAAGAGGCGATACGCCTAATCCAGCCCGTCGTGGATAAGAGGACTGCAGAGTCTGGTTCTTCAGCCGCCTCCTTGAACAAAGTAAAATATACGGACGCTGTTCAATGGGCTAACGAACTGGCCGGTGGTAGGCCTTATCATCCGGCATTACTTCAGCTGGGGTTCTCACTGGCAGCGATTCATACGACTACCGACCAACTTTGCCAGACTCTTTATGACTTGTGTGCGTACCCAGAGTACATAGAACCTCTCCGAAAAGAGTTGGTTACTGTTCTGAAGGAGAGCGGCATGACCAAAGCTGGGCTGTACAAACTAAAGCTTATGGACAGTTTCATGAAAGAAAGCCAGCGGTTGAAGCCGGGAGCCTCGCGTCAGTACCTCCCCCTTTCTGCCCTTTGATGTGAATCTCATTTTCAATTCTAGTCTTGATGCGCCGTTTAGTAATGGAGGATGTTACTCTTTCCAACGGCGTCTTTCTACCCCGAGGGATACAAATTGGCTTCCCACTGCGCTCGCATTTCGACCCGAAAGCCTATCCCGAGCCCGATGCGTTCGACGGGTACCGCTTTGTAAAGATGGCAGGTGATCCAGAGAAAGAAATGTTACGGCACTTCGTCTCAACAAGTCCCGAGCATTTGGCCTTTGGTTTCGGGAAACACTCTTGTCCAGGGCGCTTCTTTGCAGCGATTGAAGTAAAGATTGCGCTCTGTCACATCTTACTTAAGTACGATTTTAAGCTGGCAGAGGGGACTACACCCACTGTTATGAAAATGGGCTGGGCCTTAATTGCAGACCCGATGGCTCAGTTTATAATTAAGCGACGCGAGAGTATCGACGAAAGTATTCTGATTACCTAATGAGGACATACTACATAGTTTTAGACTGAGATTAGCTAGTAGAATAGAAATGTTTCCACTCGCTATGTTTAAACTTCCTAGAAACATAAATAGGGAAAGTTTGAGATTCTAATACAAATATACTAGTAAGAGATATATCTGTTAGAATAAGAAGAGTAGTACTTATTGTATAGCTAGATTAGAGGTAGAGTTGTCTACTTATCTAGCGATAGAACTAGAGGTAGCGAATCCATAGGTTCTCAGGTGAAAAGAAATAATGCTAGGGGAGAGAGATTAAAGAATTAGATGAATCTAATCTATTCTTAATGTCTGTACTAATAATCTCCTCTATATAATCCGCTCTTAGTTCTATCAACTATAGTACTAAGATAAAATTTCCTCTAGCTAACCGAAATCGGTCTATTACCAAAGGTTAGCGGCTATACTTCTACTACATAGATAGGCTCTAATCTTATAAACAGCTATCGTCTTAATACGCTGTATAAGAAAATAATACGCTTATATATTAGAATAGTAACTCTAAGAGAGGAGGTAATATTATAAGCAATAATGAAGATTCTCTGTTTAATATATAGTAAGATAGCAAAAGTTCTATAGTTATCTACATTAAAAGGTAATAATTATCGCGAGCCTAGGTCACGTAGTATACTATCCTGCTAAAGATAACTATCTAAGAGATAGGAGAACGTCTTAGAATAGTAGCTATCCCTAATATTATAGATATACTAGAGAAGATTAGAAAATCTAATATATTAAACTAGAATTAATAAGAATATTAAGATAGAAAGATTCCATTGCTACTCTCATCATAGTTAACTTAAATTTTACTTTCTTTCTAGTTAGTTAACTTTATAAAGTTAAAACTTATTAGTCTATTTAATAATGATAAGAAATTATTAAACCTATTATTATCTATTGTATAAGTATACTACTCTACTATAAAAGACCTAAGCTACTTAGCTAATCTCTAATAAGTTCGATTTATTAATTAATAAGATCGCTATACTCTAGCAATCTATACTATTATACTACTAGTATATCACGAGTGTATTAGTATTATAAGAGATAAATAACGATTACGTGTAAACAACGTAATCTATTACTACTAGCTAGTATAAATACTAGTAATAGAAATACTAGATGGAAAGTAGAGCGGATTGCATAGAGCAGACTACTAGTGAAGAATATAAGAGCAAATCAGATTAATCTAATTCTTTAGTCTCTCTCACTTAGTATTATTTCTTTCTTTTTACCCTAGAACCTATTAATTCGCTATCTCTTAGTCTATCGCTAGACAAGTAGACGACTGTACCTCTAAGCTAGCTATAGAATAAGTAGTACTCTTCTTATTTTAACAGGTTATAAGCCTAGATTACACGTTTAATTAAAGGTTCTAGTAAAATCTACTATAAAAGGTTTAACATTCACGTAAGAACTAGTACTATTTAAGCTAGATTCTAAGTAAGAGCTAGGGTAATAATAAAAGTTAGAAGATAACTACGGATAAAGAAGCTAAAAAACTCTGGATACTAGTAAAAACCGTATTAGTTAAGAGTATCCGAGCCTCTCACGAAGCTTAATACTATAGTTAAGGGTTTATCTAAAGCTAGATTAGCTAAGTATAATATATTAATCTATATTAATTAGTAGCTATAGTTTTTTATAGAAAGAATAGTAACTATAAGATTATTAATATATATACAAGCTTATCAGCTAATCTAATAGATTAAAATAGCTAATAGTATATTTAAAGTACTAAGGCTTGAAGAGAGATTGAATTTTAATATATAGGCACTGCGAAATTGATCTATTCTTATACAGTAAGATTGTGCTAATATAATAGTTATAGATCTATCTAATCTTATATTAAATTAATATCTAGATACGTTTAATATATTAAAAGAAAAGAAATCGAAGGTGCTAGCTATAATTACATTTAGTCTTAAAGATAGACTACTACTTAAGATAAAAGAGTATAGTAGTCTAATAGAACTATAAAATAATCTTAAAACTCTATAATTTTAGAAAGAATGAAGATCTAATTTCTTTATCTATAAAGATCTAATTAATAGAATACTTATAAGCTTTAAATATAACGTTGAATTTGTCTTTAAAAGTTATTAAGGCTTACTCTAACCTTAAAAGCTTATAAAATTAAACTGCCCGATTAATTCATTACTACGCTAATACTTAATAGTTTAAGTTTAGAATTTGATTATCTTATTACTACGATTACTTAGGACTCTAAATTAGATAACGTATTTTATAAGCGAGCGGGCTATATAAGCGAGTGGGTTATCTTACTAACTTTACGCACCTATCTAACTCTAATTAACTATAGCTCTATTAAATTAAGCTCACAACGTCTCTTATAAATCTGATATATAGCTAGTAATCCTAGCTATTAATTAAGATTAAATTAAGTCTTAAAGAGATCTAGTAAGAGTCTATAAAGTCTCTTAAATAACACTCTAGCGTTGACACGCTAGTATACTAACCTAACATGATTGCTAGTCTAACTTAAAGAATCTTATAAAGCTAGAAGAGGAGGTGATAGTTAATTATATACTTAATCTAGATCTACGTAGATTTTCGTCTACCTACGTAGCTGTGCGTGATATAGCTAATAGACTACTAGCTGCGCGTGGCGCTAACTAGGTTAGTGTCTACTAGCCGCGTAACTTTATTAAGCGTATAGATAGTTTTACGACGCGTTTTAATTAAACGTATAATAGATAGAGGGCTCTATATAAAGATCTAGTTCTAATTAAGAGCTAGTTTAAGCTCGTAGAGTAGATAAAGGCTAAGTACGATATCTGTGATAAAGACGTCTATAACTTTAATATAGCTAGCTTTATAATAGGTAGAATTACGACTTAGCTAGTTATAATAGCATTAGAGAGAAGGTGCCGGCTAAAGGTAGTTAAGCTAAGTAATTATAAGTAGGTAACGCTAATCGCAGTAATTAACGCAGCTAGCTAGTCTATCCTACTATTTCTAATCCTTACTAGTAAGTATTACCTATCTGCCTAGTATAAAGAGGCAGAGATCCTACGCGACTAGGCCATCGCAGTTAGTAATACTAGCTAAACAACTAATAAGCTAGAAGTTAAGTAGTTAAAGCACTTAATTAAGTATATAAATAGTAAGGTTATTAGAGCACGTTAGCTACTTATTCTTAACGGCTATAAGAGCTACCAGTCACTTAAGTTCTAAGAGCTCTACAAGAAGAACAACATATATACGCTCTATATACCGCCTCACTCATCTTATCTACTCTAGCCTCTTAATATTAGCTACTTCTTACTATTAAAGCGCGCGTACAGCTGCGAGGTAGAGAGCCTAATCTAGCATTATATTAACTACATTACTAAGCTTAAGTTTCTACTAGCGTTTAAGATAGCGTTTAATCAAGCCTTCACGCTAGCTAATATCTACTCTACCTTCCATAGTATAGGCCTTATTCCTCTCTAGCTAGATACTATTCTATTAAGGCTTAATATAAAGCTCCGTACGTCTACTCTACTAGCTATTCTAAAGGTTCTCTAGTAGGCTTATACGCCTAGTAACACACACGAGCTTAAAGCTTAATCTACGTTAATACATAATTACGTTTAGCAGCATTAAGGCTTATTACTAACTTTCATTATTATAGTAATTAATTAGCTTAAGAAGAGGGCTAAGATAATAATACTCTCGGCTAAGCTTATACGCAATTAGATAGCTAGCTTTAAGAAGGCGAATAAAGCCGTAATAAAACGTAGACAGCGTAAGAAGAAGTAGATATAGAAGTAAAAGGTGCTAATAAAGAGAGCTAGAGGAGATCTACTTGCTCAGCGTGAGGCTAATTAGTATATTACTTATAAAAAGTGTTAAGAAGGAGAGTAATTAGGTATTAACCACTAGGCTCTAGCGTAGTATAGTAGGTATAGAGAGACTAGCTATAATTCGCGTATATGTGAGAAAGATACTTTAGATAGTATTTAATTCACTATCTTAATATACATAAATTTTATTTAGTTATAGTAAAACTATACACGTAAAGAGGTGCGCAAAGTTAGTAGGGTAGCATACTCGCTTATATAGCCCGCTCGCTTATAAAACACGTTAAAGAAATTAATCTTAATATAATATACAGCTAAATTATTAGCAAATCTAGACGACTTAGATCTATTAAGAATAGCTTTAGCAGCTTAAATAGCTCGATCTAAAGAATTTATATTGAATCTTATTAATTTAATCTATTCTATTAATCTAATTATAGATTTGGGTAATCTTATTAATCTTATTAATCAAAATATAGAAAAATGACTTTGATAACTTAAAATTCTAAGAGAAGCTTAAAGCACTATAGCTACTATAGAAGAAATAGGTATCTAGTTAAATAATATTATGTAGTAAAAAGATCTATCTAAGCGTACTAACTAAAGCTTACTTAGACTAGAAGAAGCTCTATCTACGATTGTATTAGTAGACGAATATATTACTAATATTAATACTAATAGATCTATCTAACCTGCTCAGTCTATTATAGTAGGGTAATAAAAGAAAGTCTAAATTCAAAAAGTTAGTATTTTCAAACGTTTATAACTTAATAACTAGAAAAGCTATCCTAAGAACGGTGAATGCATTTTAAAGCCAAGATGTTCTAGTTTAGTTTAGAGTAGTAACGTGACTGTAAGTGTACCTTTTAATTAGCTATAATAATTCAACAATCTCGTGCTTTAGAAATCTATTAATATTTTTCTTTTTTTCGCGCTTAAATATTTTACTTTTTTAGATTTTTAATATATATATATCACTTTAAATACGATCTATATTAGATAGAGATATAATATATCTATATTTACTATAATAAAACATATAACTAAAAGTAAGTTATAAGGTTTAAAAGAAGATAAAAGAAAATATATTAAAGCTGGTACTTATTATACCACCCCTTAGCTTCTGCTATAGCTCTATAACGACTTAATATAGATAAAATATAGTTATCTTTATTCTTTTACCAAATAGCCTACTATTCTTCTTTTATTATAGTAATCAAAGTATTAATACTTTTACGATTAATCCTAACGCCTAACGAGGTAGTAGGCATTTTATTTAGCCTATTTTTAGGTAAACTTTAAACGTTCTCAATAAGATTTAAATCTAGACTATAGGCTTAATAGGCTGCAACTTTAGTTTAGTTTCGTTTAAACTAGCTTTTAACCTTTTTAAAAATATATTTAGTAGTGTTATCCTATTAAAAAATTAATCCTAAATAAAAATTAGTTAGTTAGATATATACCTATATAATAAGCTATCAATTATATTTAAGTAAAAAAAATTATAAGAAAAGTTTTATTAAAAAAAAGAAAAAATGCTTTTCCGTTTTTAATCACTAGTTCAATAGAAGGTATTAGGTCTTTCTAGATATAGTAGTAACTAGAGTAAGAAGTATTAGATATAAGCGTTTTTATAATAACTATATTTCATCTTCTAACTATCCACATCGCTAGCTAAATTTAATAATTATATTCTAAGCTATTTTAAATAATAAAATTAAAAACTATATTTAAATATATAATTGAACTAGTAAAATATAAGAAAAATTTAAAAGAATAATAAGAAACTAAAATAACTTACTTGTATTTCTAGTAGAAAATATATTTCTAATAAGCTGTTGATTTCCTCATTTTCTAAAGAATTCTAAATAAGATCCGTGACCCCGTTATATTCTATACTTATTAGAATAGATAGTCTAAGTATAATCTTGATTAATAACCTAAGTTAAGCTCTCCCTACCCTATACTAATCTCTTTTAGGCTTTTTGAGCGTTTAAGATAAGTTTTTTATTAATTTAGTTAACGTCTAACCTTTAGCCTTAAAAACCCGTTATAGCGTTATAGTTAAGACATTTAGATTATTTTCTTTTAACAATCTAGAATTAAATTTCTTAGGGCTTCTAGTTATGTCTCTATTAATAACTCTTTTAGCGCTTATAGAAATTTATAAAATTCTTTCTCTCTTAGCTTATTCTTAGTAGATATATATTTTTTTTTCTTTTTAATCTGTAGAAAAGCGTCGTAGATAGATTATAGTATGTTTTAGAAATAATTTATAATAGATTGGATTAGGATTGTAGCTTACAGAAAACAGTAAATTTCCACTTTCAAGGTAGAAAATTTCTAAATCTATAGTAGAGAAATACAAGAAAAAAGGTATAATGTAGAAAGATATTAATTTATATTATAATATTACTAATAAATCAGTAACATATAGCTTACGTAATCAACCTGTTAAATTAGAAACATTTAGCTGTTAAAAGATATATTTTAGCTATATCTAACTATGTGATATATGTATAACGCTTATCTAATCTAGGATACTATATATAGAAGCTATAGTA